TATATATATATTGGGAAAGAGGATGTCTCACTGGCAACAACTGAAGTGCTCAGGCATACGCGCCGTGTTCACTCTTCGTCGATGGACGACTTCAGTTCACCACGAAATTAATCACTGGGAAACAGTCGAGGGGGCATAGAGACGCAAGCAAGAGGTACACACTTACGGATGCAACCCCGGGCTGCCGTGGGCATCACTTTTTCGACTTCTTTGCCGACTTCTTCGGACGCATCTGTGCCTTGGCAGTGGGGGCAACTGTCTTCAGCACGGCATGACCGGACTCCTTAATGTGCGCAAACAGTTTATTCTTGGAGGGAAACTCCTCGGAGCAGACCTTGCAAACACATGCCTCCTGCGGGGCGGCAGTCGGCTGACTCTTGGCCGGATGGCCATCACCTGGAACAAAAAGAGGGAAGCTGGCAGTAACATCGAACAGGCATACAGGCATAATTGAAGAACGGTGTGGTGTTGATTTTGAAACATGAACGTGGAAGCAACGACTAAAAGGGGTAAGATGAGGATGCGAATTAGGGAGAGGAAACGGCTCTTTTACGCACTGGAGGTCCAATTAGCAAGACAGAGTTGACTAAGTACCTTTCTATTGATTAAGGAGGTATCTAGAATTCAGTTAGTTTTAACATAGGCAATTATTAGGAATGTGATTCTCATCTTCCCCTCGGACTAAGTCCTCTGAAAAAATAAGCATTTAACAATATAATCTTCCAATGGAAGCTGATTTTGAGGCTGTTTAAAAAAACTCTTCGTAGGGGGTCCGTAAAGATACCATACTATTGGGTATATATGCACATTAGGAAAAAACAAACATAGTAAACTATTCCGTATTGACAAAAATGTTCAATTCGGGGAACTATGAGGACAAATTGGGGACAATCGACCCTCTGTGTGAGCGACCGTAAGAATGTGTGTGTTTCGCGGTGGAAATTCCTGAGGTGCATTATGAAAAGTCTCATGTGATGTTTTACTCAAAGAAACCTGCAAGAGTTTCAAAAAAAAACAGCAGTCTGGATATCGATTATGCTGTGATGCTTCTGCCAAATATTACCTTTTTTCACATTTACCTCGATAGAAACAGTAACGCGTCGGTCTTTACGAGAAAAATGCCCCAGAAGGCCTCAGAAAGACTTTGGCTGTTCAGTTAGCACTTTAGACACCCATATGTATTGCCCACCAGAATAAGAAAATAAATCCTTGATTTACTATAAGGCAGTCGCGATTAGCTATCCTTAATTTAATGCGTGGACAAGTTCATGACAAGTGCTCGTGTGCAAATGCAGATCGGTCGGTATACGGTATATGGCGTTTAAGAGGACCAGGCCTCCGGGGTCCGGCCAAGAACCTTCGCAATTTCGACGTCGAAGGTGTCTACGCCCTCTCCTCTTCGAGACGCACAGCAACCTAGGAGCACGCGCCTGCAGATTTTGCTACTAGCTGTTGACGTGGTCAAGTATGCAAATGTTTTCGATTTTTCCAGAGTAGTGGCAGTAACTGTACTTGCCTTGGGGACCGGGACAGACTTCGATTACAGTCAAGGTCAGCGACGTATAGCTTGCAGTTGGTGGGTTGCCGATATCCCAAGAGATGTGGGCAGTCGTAAAACGTAAACTTCAGAAAAGTACTTGGTACGGCTATGATCATGGCTGATCTAGACGGCCTCGATGATGTCATGTATTACAGCTCTCTGTGACTATTTGCGGTAGCGAATTTTGAACGCTCAATGAATTCTCTTCTGCAGCGAAGAAGACCAAAAGTCCAAGAGCCGCTTCCGTGTCTCGATGAACCCTGTCGAACGAGGACTTAAGTTGGCCTCTTCTTCGACGTCTCTAATTGGGTAACGGTGTTCGATCGAGGGCAGTAACACTGAACTCGTGAGGTTGACGACGAAGCACGTCTCCAAACCACCGTAGTTGTCTCTCTTGGATGGCCTGGGGTATGCTTACGATGTTATCGCAACAAATGCAGACTGCATCGGTGTACTTCATCCGAAGGATGGTCCTAAAGCAGGGGTGGTCGAAAACCTCCGCTCAACTTCAACGCGCCAAGCCCAGCATTCACAACCGTTGAGGACTGACCGAACGGTGTCAAACAAGTGGAAAGGTGACCTCAGTACTGTCTTGACAGAAACCGACCCGAGGATTCTCATTATGGCTTAGTTAATAAGACCCTTAACCAGTCCGGTGGGACGGAAGAAGACCATGCAAAATGAATCCATCCACTTGGAAAAAAACACCAGTGTTTATACTCACCCTTCGCAGCTT